GTCGAAGTAATGCATTGGTCTTAAATATGCACCTATTTAAAATAGCCAAAATCTAACAAATGACTGTCCGAAATCTGTTGCGATACTTTCCTCCTTCTTTTTAATTTTTTTTCAAAATATATTCAACTTTTTTTTCTAACATCTCTATTTTTCAAAATGGTCTAATTTTTCAAAATTTTTATTCAACATTCCTCAACATTCCTTTCGCTGATGATGATTTCCCATAGGATAAATGGACAATCCTATGGTTTTTCAAAAATATCAATTATATCCGTTCATGGATATCGATATCTTCACTCAATATTTTAAGAATTTCAGTGATATTGGCATCAAGTATTCATAACTTTGCCCTCTACCCCTTATCACCTTGGTTTTTATGCCAAAAGGTATCTTATATCTGTGGCTCAACACTGGGTGTGTACCAAATTAAGTGTGATAGTTGAACATGGGGGGTAAGGTACAACAAGATTTGGTCTAGTTTCTAGATCTTTCTGAAAATATGAAAACATCACTTTGCTAAAATTTCATCACCCTTGTGGTGTACCTTACCCCGTGCATTGTCACAACTGTCACGCTTAATTGGGTACACACCCTGTGCTCAAGCTAAAAAATAATAAAGACATAAAAAAAATTGCAAAAAAGTATGCACTGACGTTCCCTCAAATACCCACATACAAACTAATGGTTCTTCCCTTTTTACATACGGAAGTAACATGAAACAGCAATAACCCTGTGCTAAAATTCACTCTTCCAGGTCATGTTAATCTTCGCTATTCCTTCTCTTATGAGTTCACAAACAAACTATGGCAAATGTAAGCATTGGGTCTTTATTATTAATTGCTCATTTTACTCCTTTCAATATGTTTTGTTGAATAATAAACCAAATCACCATGACATTATAAGCACAGGAGCATCTATGTTAAGTGTAAATTGGAGGTCTTATACCAGTTCCTTCATAGAAGCATGGACAGTGAAGTGCGCAGAAAAGGACATGTACATTTGTAAATAATTACATAAAAGACTCTAATACAAATGGAATATCTATAAACATATACTGATGCATAGTAGCAAAGCTGTGATTCTTCCTCGATTCTTCACAGGGAATGGACAAATACCTATATGAGAATTCAACAAAGAGACTGAACAACCAAAGTTGAAACCATATAATACTGTTACACAAAGTCAAGGAGAACCCCATGAGAAACCTAAATGAACCCAACTATTGAAGTGAACAATGAACAACTAGAATATACAGAGCCATAGAGAACAGTTTCAGTAATGAATGAACATAATTATCTAACTGCAGAATGAACAACCAGAATATACAGAAACATTGAGAACATTGTCAGTGACATTATTGAACATAATTGTCCAAATAACTTCTTCCTGAGAAAATAGTGAATCCAATCCGTAAAGTCCTCAGGTTACATGCTGCCGCTGTTCTTGCAAGGCCGTTACAATACCCGGGAATTTATCGATTTGTGCAGTGCTTGTTTGTGATAGTGCCCTCTGCAGGTCACTGCCCTAAACTTTCTCAGGTAATAAAGAGGTAGCTTGTGAGCATTGGGTGTAGTTTTCTATCCATCGATTATGCTATATAAATTGAGGCAAATGTTGCCATATAGCCTACTAAGGTGGCCTAAAGTGCTGCTTATTTTTTCGTGAAGCCACTCAGTAAAATTACGATTTCTCTGCAGCCTGATGTTCAATCAACATCATTTGAGTATCTATGTGTTCCAGCTCCGAGCTGGCAGATATAGTATATCTTCCCGCTACGTCATAATCGCCGCTCGCATACTTGTTCATAATTTGTAACGTTCGCGTAATGACTGTAAACTACAATGGAGAAAACACAGACAATCGGGATCTGTTTGATGGTTTAAAAAAGGGAAAGAGCATCCACTTAATCAATCAAAAATTCGAGAAAATAAATATGGGAATATTTGAGAGAACAGGAAAATCCGCCCACGGCCAAGACAACAAAACTGGACATGAATATTCTAAAATATTTCCACGATTGAACAATGTAAACCAGATGACCAAGATTGGTATGGGATAAACATATTATCCTATGGTCGGTTCAGGATATTGGGAGTATCTCTTGGCCAATATAATATATTTTCCCTCGGGACCTGCGGCCCTCGGGCAAATATATTATATTGGCCTCGGGATAATCCCAATATCCTGAACCTCATATAGGATAATCTCTACATATTTTTATCAGCGGGCAGATATAGCTTTACGTCCCGCTTTGAGCGGGCAGATATAGTATATCTGCCCGCTACGTCATAATCGTTGCTCGCATATTTGTTCACAATTTGTAACGTTTGTGTAATGACTGTAAATGACAATGGAGAAAACAAAGACAATCGGGATCTGTTTGATGGTTTAAAAAAGGAAGGAACATCCACTTAATCAATCAAAAATTCAAGAAAATAAATATGGGAATATTTCAGAGAACAGGAAAATCTGCCCACGGCCAAGAAAACAAAACTGGACATGAATATTCTAAAATATTTCCACGACTGAACAATGTGAACCAGATGACCAAGATTGGTATGGGATAAACATATTATCCTATAGTCGGTTCAGGATATTGTGATTATCCCGAGGCAAATATAATATATTTGCCCGAGGGCCGCAGGTCCCGAGGGAAAATATATTATATTGGCCAATTGGTCATATAGGATAATCTCTATTTATCCGATGGATACTAAATATATATGGGGATACCAACACAGATAATTTTCGTATGCGCCACTAAAATCGTATCTGATCCATATGACGTGATATCCAATCGTATCCGACAGATAATATTTTAAAAATATTTTGAAAAAATTGAAGAAATTTGAACTTTTGAAAAAGAAATTGAAAAAAAAGTTTTGAAAAAATTGAAAAAAATTTTGAAAAAAAAAATTGAAAATTAATTCAGAAAAAAATTTGAAAATGAAATTATAGAAATAAAGAAAATGAAAAAAAAATTGAAAAAATATTTGGAAAAAATTGAAAAGTTACATGTTTATATGATCAGTAAAACTGAGTTACATTTTTTCATCCAATCATTTTATAAAAATAAGGTCATAGAAAAAAATGAAAAAATACAGTCAATTAAAAAAATAAGCAATCAAATGACCATATTGAAACAGCTTATGTAAAAATAGAAACATTTATATTTATCCTAACTTTTGTATATTTCAGATAGTAATGTAAAATGTGAAGTAAAGCTGTGGCCTTTGTAATTTAGGGAGTTTCAGCCATGTTAATTTTTCCGAAAATAACATGGCAGAGAAGTATCAAAATATAAAAGGACACAGATATGATAGCTAAACTAGAAAACAAACTAAAATATACAAAAGTGAGGATAAATATAAATGTTTCTATTTTTAGATAAATTGTTTCTATTTTTAGATAAATTGTTTCAATTTGGTTATTTGATTGCTTATTTTTTAAATTCAAAGTACTCTCAAACATTACTGTTTTGACTATAGAATAAAAATAGAAAACAACAACTTTAGGTTAAATTATTTGAAGTCCATACAAAAATAGCAACCATCGGATAAATATGATATCTTATGATTTTCTAGGCTATCATTTTTATCCACTCTTGGATATCGCCGATCTCCACTCATTCGCTGCGCTCACTCGTGGAGATGAGTGATATCCACTCATGGATAAAAATAGTATCCCTCAAAAATAATAGGATATCCTCTATATATGCGTGTGCATGCAGTTCATCTACTAAACGAAACGAAACTAATCGTGAAATCACCAGGTATTGATTTTTCCCTTGTTCTTGCAGGTCGGCCACTGTGGATGTCAGCTGTCAAGTTCCTGTGATATAATCCTAAACAAATAGAAACTATTCTATGTATACTAGACATTGATATTCTTGAATTACATCCAACCACAAGCATACTGAGGCTATATACTAAATTTAGACAGTGCTGAATTACCATTTATATATAATCCAAAGCATATTGAGGTTGCCTACTAGCATCAATTGATAAAACTTCAAGCAAATTGAAGTTGAAGCTATCATACATATTGATAGAGTTGAGTGAGTTTAATGCAAAACATATTGAGGCTGAATAGTGCATACTAGATGTTCAATAAGTTGAATCAGCATCAATGTATAAACTTCAACCAAAATGAAGCTATATCATTAATATTGACAGTGTTAACAATATAACCACTGAATTACCACTGATAACACTAAGCATATTGTGGTAATATGCTACATATTCAGCACATTGCTGAATTACCAATCATATAAATCATATATTAGGTGCAGAATTATTATTGATAATTAATGAAACACATTTATGGTTACAGGTTACATGCTGACATTGCTTTATCATCATTTATATATAAACCTAGATATTCAGGTCACAGATACCTACAACCCTAAATTACAAGCATCATATACCAGACTGAATTACCCCAAATATACTGAAAAAATATTGTTCCTGTTCAATGAGATTTTAAATGAATCGGCATGAGTACAGATACATGTATAATGTCTAATCACAATCTCATCCAAACTGCAGTAAAGCAATTTAAATGTGACATTTGTTCTAAAACATTTGCACAGAAATCTTGTTTAAAGAGGCACAATCTCATACATACTGGAGAAAAGCAATTTAAATGTGACATTTGTTCTAAAACATTTGCAAGAAAATCTCACTTAGCAAGTCACAATCTTATCCATACTGGAGAAAAGCAGTTTAAATGTGACATTTGTTCTAAAACATTTGCAAGAAAATCTCAATTAGTAAGCCACAATCTTATCCATACTGGAGAAAAGCAATTTAAATGTGACATTTGTAGTAAAACATTTGCAAGAAAATTTCACTTAGTAAGCCACAATCTTATCCATACTGGAGAAAAGCAGTTTAAATGTGACATTTGTAGTAAAACATTTGCAAGAAAATCTTACTTAGTAAGTCACAATCTCATCCATATTGGAGAAAAGCAATTTAAATGTGACATTTGTAGTAAAACATTTGCAAGAAAATTTCACTTAGTAAGTCACAATCTCATCCATACTGGAGAAAAGCAATTTAAATGTGACATTTGTAGTAAAACATTTGCAAGAAAATTTCACTTAGTAAGCCACAATCTTATCCATACTGGAGAAAAGCAGTTTAAATGTGACATTTGTAGTAAAACATTTGCAAGAAAATCTTACTTAGTAAGTCACAATCTCATCCATACTGGAAAAAAGCAATTTAAATGTGACATTTGTTTTAAAGAATTTGCAAGGAAAGATACATTGGTAACACACAATATCATTCATACTGGAGAAAAGCAGTTTAAATGTGACATTTGCTCAAAAACCTTTGCACGTAAGGGCAACTTAGTACATCACAACCTCATCCATACTGGAGAAAAACAGTTTAAATGTGACGTTTGTTCAAAAACATTTGCTTTGAAATCTAACTTAGTAATACACAATATTGTCCATACAAGAGAAAGGAAGTTTAAATGTGACACTTGCTCTAAAACGTTTACATGGAAATCTGCCTTAGTAAGTCACAATCTCATTCATACTGGAGAAAAACAATTTAAATGTGACATTTGTTCTAAAACATTTGCACGGAAATTCAACTTAGGGTTACACAATCTCATCCATACTGGAGAAAAGAAATTTAAATGTGATATTTGTTCTAAAACATTTGCACAGAAATCTTATTTAGTATCTCACAATCTCATTCATACTGGAATTAAGCAGTTTAAATGCAACATTTGTTCTAAAGCATTTGCAAGGAAGTCAGATATAGGAATTCACAATCTCATCCATACTGGTGAAAAGAAATTTAAATGTGACATTTGTTCTAAAACATTTGTACATAAATCTCATTTAGTATCTCACAATCTCATTCATACTGGAGAAAAGCAGTTTAAATGTGACATTTGTTTTAAAGAATTTTCACAGAAAGCTACATTGGTAACACACAATCTCATTCATACTGGAAAAAAGCAGTTTAAATGTGACATTTGTTCAAAAACATTTGCTTTGAAATCTTACTTAGTAAAACACAATATCATCCATACGAGGGAAAGGAAGTTTAAATGTGACATATGTTATAAAACTTTTGCCTGGAAGTCTAGCTTAGTAAAGCACAATCACAATCACACTGAAGAAAGCCAGTTTAAATGTGACGTTTGTTTCAAAACATTTGCAAGCAAATCTGAGGTAGCAAGTCACAATCTCATCCATACTGGAGAAAAGAAATTTAAATGTGACATTTGCTCCAAAACATTTGCTAAGAAATCTCATTTAGTAAGTCATAATCTTATCCACACTGGAGAAAAGCAGTTTAAATGTCACATTTGTTCAAAAACATTTACAAGGAAATCTCATTTAGTAAACCACAAACTCATCCATACTGGTTAAAAGAAATTTAAATGTGAAATTTGTCATAAAGTATTTGCACATAACTCTTACTTAGTATATCACAATCTCATTCATACTGGAGAGAAGAAATTTGAATGTGACATTTGTTCTAAAACATTTGCAAGGAAGTCAGAAATAGCAATTCACAATCTCATCCATACTGGTGAAAAGAAATTTAAATGTGACATTTGTTCTAAAACATTTGCACAGAAATTTCACTTAGTAAGCCACAATCTCATCCTTACTGGTGAAAAGAAATTTAAATGTGACATTTGTTCAAAAACCTTTCCAAAGAAATCTCATTTACTAAGTCACACTCTCATCCATACTAGAGATAAGAAATTTAAATGTGAAATTTGTCATAAAGTATTTGCACATAATTCTCACTTAGTATGTCACAATCTCATTCATACTGGAGAGAAGAAATTTGAATGTCACATTTGTTCAAAAACATTTGAATGGAAATCTAACTTAGAAGGTCACCTTTTCATCCACACTGGAGAAAAGCAGTTTAAATGTGACATTTGTTTTAAAGCATTTGCACTCAAGTCCAGCTTACTAAAGCACAATCGCATTCATACTGGAGAAAAACAGTTTAAATGTGACATTTGTTTAAAAAAATTTGCACAGAAATCTCATTTAAATAGGCACAATCTCATATATACTGGAGAAAAGAAATTTAAATGTTACATTTGTTCCAAGATGTTTGCAACAAAATCTGATTTATTAAGTCATAATCTCATCCACACTGGAGAAAATATGTGTTATCTGTTTCAAAAGATTTGCAAGGAAATCTAATTTACTAAGTCACACTTTCATCCATACGAGAGAAAAGAAATGTGAATGTCACATTTGTCATAAAGCATTTGCAAATAGATGTAACTTAGTCAGTCACAATCTTATCCATACTGGAGAAAAGTAGTTTATTTGACATATTTGTTCTAAAATTTGCTTGGACATATTTTTTGTTCTTAAAAGACTAGTCTTGGTTTGGAGAATGAAGTTCATCAGTCTACTACATGTTTCGCCTGCTTTGGACAATTTTGATATTTTTACATCTTGTCGATTTAAATGTCCTCTTTTGAGACATTCATAATTTTTTAATTTGACTGTAATGAAGCTGCATACAAGGAAATACAGATGAGTGAATGTTACGTGTATCTTTCTAGACATTATAAGAGAGTGTGGAATCTCAAATCACTGATGTCTTGGAGTATTAACAAAAAGTTCACTTATGTTTTATTTTCTGTCAGGACTTTAGAAGTTTTGCAAAATCAACATCACAAATTTTCGACCTGATTGATGGTTTTCCTAAACTTCATAAGGTAAACATTTTAGACAAAGGATTGGTATAGATATGGAGAACTGAATTCAACAATGTTTTTCTCTTAAACCAATTATTGAAAACATTCTGTAAAAAACAAGGTCCTTTATGTAATGTTGACTGATTGACAACAATTCAATGCGAAAATAATTTATATATATATATGTTTTTGTTAACATATTTCATTTTTTAGTGCAATTGTTTTTTGTTCCTTTTTACCATTTCTTGAGAATGAAATAAAATATCTTTCTGAAGCGTGTTCAAAAAATTAAAACAAAAACCATTTTTATAAATCATAATGACAGAATAGATCACTGATTGTACAGTCTTTCTTATACGCAATCATACACTTATGCACAGGGTAGAAGTATTATCCTTTTTGAAAATAAAACCCTTACCAAAACTTTGGTTACCCTGTAATATTGAAAGACAGATGAAAAAATGAAAATCACCTCCTTCAATCTATTCTTACTGGTTTTTAGGATTATTTCTTGATTTTTAACATCTTGCAAAATCAGGATGGTAAATTGTTTTTTATTTCACTTCAAACAATTCATAAGTTTTATCTTACTATTACTCATTATATCTGTCAATTCCTGTTGGGATCCATTATAAAAATGGAATTTTCAAAATAAACATTTTAAAATTCTATGTGGTGAAAAGTTGTGTATTGAGTAGTTAGTTGATGTTATGGTGTTAAAAATTCAAAAGGATAAAGAAAAATTGCCATGGAGAAGTTATTTAACCTTTAGCGTGCTGCCGGCGGACTCGTCCGCCGAGACTAAAATGTCTCTCACAACTGCCGGCGGACCCGTACGCCCGATTTCAAACTTTTAAAAACTTTACTTTTTCGCGCCATTCGTATTGTCCAATTAGATTGCCCGATTTATTCAGTGCCTAACATGACTTCCTGTTGACCTAGAAATGGCGATATTTCGAAAAATGATTCTCAATTCATCAATTTAAACAGTGTTTTAGTCGTTTTTAGTGAACGGATCGTACAAAATGGTGGACAAATACGATCACAACGAAAATGTGGAGGAAATAGATTACGATTTCGAGCTCTTTAGGCTCTTGGAAGCCGATAACGGTCATCGAAAATAGAAACTAGAATATTTTCTGAATTGAAAAATTGAACATTCGATCGCTGCAAATTCAGATTTGGATTCTGACCAGACGAAGAGGCGGAGCGGCGGATTCCGGAGGAGTATTCATGGTATATTTATGCCCAGTCGTGTTAATGTACGAAAAAATTCATGAGAACATTTTTTTCATGAACCAGGCCACTGTATCTTCCCTTTGTGAAAATGTTATCCAGATTCATTCAGTAGTTATTGAGATATTAATTATTTAGTCCAGGTATATCATTTTTTGCACTCTTTGAAAAATAAGCCAGTTGCGTGGGATATATTTGCTGAAATAAGGCAGCATGGTAAAGGTTAAACAAGTCTTATTATATATGAGCTATCTTTGTAGATTTTTGAACAAATTAATGAAACATAACTGAAAACAAACATGCAGCTATTTTAAAATCATAAGATTAATTTTAGTGAAACCTCTATTCAAGATGTTATTGTCAACCTCTGTAAAAAATATTTTCGATCCTTTTTGGAAATTTTATGGCAAAACATGTCTTATAAGATGGAATGCTAGATTAGGTTCATTTTCTGTTTCTTTCACCCTTTATCATATTTTGTATCTGTACATTAGGAAAGAAACATAGTTTGTTCAGCTAAACAATATGTCATTGTATACATTGTACATTGTACACATTGTACATTGTACACAACTGAAATAAACATGACATGAACTGCATCGTTGGTCCAAGGGTATTTCACTTTTTTTCAAGTCCTTTGAATGCAGGATGATTGAACTGTAACTTTTGAATGTGCTGTCTCCGATGATCATATTCTGGACATTAAAAAATCATAACATAGTCAATAGTGGGTCGATTTTCATGAAATAAAGCATACTGGAAAGGGAATTCAATATACTAAATGATAATCTATCAAACAGATCAATAATCATCTTTACTATTTTCTAAAATACTAGAAACAAGGCATCAATCAATATTTTATGAATTTCAGTTTTATTGGCATCAAGTTCCAACTATCCTAACTTTGTCCCTCTACTCCCAATCAACTTGGTTTTTACGCCAAAAAGTGACTTATATGTGGCTCAACCTAAAAAATAAGAGACTTCAAAAATTGCAAAAAAGTATACATAGACATTCTCCCAAATGCCCATGTATTTTGTTCTGAAACATTTGCACAGAAAGTAGTATCACACAATCTCATCCATACTGGAGAAAAAAGTTTAAGACTGACATTTGTTCTAAGAAAGGACAAGTCTCAGTTTGGTGAACTGTCTTCTGGGCGTATATTTTTTTATGGAAAATATAGAAATATCACCCAAATTAAATTATAAATATTCAATAGAGGACATTTAAATCTATAAGATGTCAAAATTGCCCGAAGCAGGCTTAACGTGTAGTAGACTGATTCAATAAAAAATAAGTCTCGCTGTGCTAATAATTTTCTTATGAAAAATATAGAAATATCACTCAAATTAAATTATGGATATTTAAAAAAGGATATTTAAATCTACAATATGTAAAAATATCAAAATTGTCCAAAGCAGGCGTAATATGCAGTAGACTAATGAACTTCATTCTCCAAATGGAGACAAGTCTTCTGATTTCAAGGAAATTTGACTTAGCAAGTCACATTGTCATCCATACTGGAGAAAAGCAATTTAAATGTGACATTTGCTCAAAAACATTTGCACATAAGGGCCACTTAGTAAGTTACAACCTCATTCATACTGGAGAAATGTTAAAATGTGACATTTGTTCTAAACCATTTACACAGAAATCTCAGTTAAAAGACACTATCTCATTCATACTAGAGATAAGCAATATAGAAAGAAATGCATATGTGGTTTGTTTCGTTGTATATTACATGTAAATAGGGGTTATGCACAACTCACATACCTGAAATAAATATATTATTCTGTATATCATTGTAAATACCTTTTGAATGTGTTCCCTCTATCATATTCTATTCTGGAAATCCTCCATGTTACCAAAGATTGGATCAATATCCTTAATGTTGAAGTCAGCAATATCATATCCAAAGTCTGCCATATGAGAGCTGTATATTGGACTTAACCATATTACACCAACGCCTAAATACTCTAGATAGCCAAGGCAGGACTTCATTTCTGAAGATGAAGAAAAATAAATATGTGTAATTAAGATTTAGACAACTCAGTTGATCATCACCTTCATTGTATTGTTTTATAGATAAATCAATTTATTAACCAGCATTAGTAATTATAGTTTTCGTATGGCACAAACACATTAATATTCATCAGTGGTGTAGCGTAGGTATTTTGTGAGTGTACGCCATGAGTGAGTGAAGCTTTGAGGGGGTTTGGGTCCTACAAAGCTTTGAAAATGAGATTGAATTTGAAGCATTCTATGGTGTTTTAAAATATGAAATTCTGACTAATAAAATGTAAATAATTGGCCATTTTTATCCAATATTTAATTGGATGACAAAATAGGAGCTTCTTGGAAATAAATCTCATTTGCAATCTTCATTTTATCGTTTCTAATAATAATTTATAAAAAGTCAACTTTTCTCTAAATTTGGGAGTACACCATGGCACGCAAGTGTTCTTTATAATTTTACTTTTACTTACTGTATTGTTACTTTATTACCTATTATGTACAGTATATGTATTTGTCATTTACGGGAAATGTTGTATTGTGTTCTAATAGTGTAATGTAAAATTATTTTCTATAATTTGTGTGATGAAGTATATTAAAAAACTATGTAGCTATTATATATCTGGCGTGTCCAGGTCACTGGTCACATGCCATGTACATGTAAATAAAAACTTAATTATAAAAAAATATATTTTTGTTTGATCATATTAATTGGGAAATAAGATAGAAACAACGTATTGTCATGAAAAAATTACAGCAATTTGTTGCAATCATTATCATGCCTAACCATCAATAACATACAGTGACAAAATATACGGGTGTACACTTTAGCTGTACGTTGTCATGTTTCGCATACCTGCCAACCTACCATATTTTAACGGAAATCTACCGTAAAAAATTTACCATTTTTTTCCCTTTACAAAATCAGTTTTTTTAAATCTACAAGAAAAACTAGTGCATTAATTCAAAATCGACCTTCAAACTACCACATTTTTCAAAATCTTCAAAAATGTACAGCAAAAACTACAGGATTTTTCAAAATCGACCATAAAGCTACCAAAATTTTCAAAATCTTCCGAAAATCTACCATTTTTAAAAAATCTGCATCATAAATGACTGCATTTTTCTAAATCTTCTGCAAAAAAAACGAAATTTAAAAAAATTTGCTAAATTTTTGGTCTTAGGTTGGCAGGTATGTGTTTGAAGCAAAATTTGTGATGTGGGTTTTAAAAGATTTATCTTAGGAATATGATGAAGTTCTTCATGTTTAATTTCATATGCATGCTCTTGGCAGTTCTCACTGTTAGCAGAGCCCTCT